ATTCCATTTTGATGTCTCAACAGTCGGTTGATTCCATTTTGATGTCTACTCTTTTCTTCTTAGGTCAAAATATTTCTAAGTTTAAATCATCTGCTTTGAAATTTTGAAATTCACAATACTGGACTACGAATCCAGACACTGAGCTCAAATCCCATTGAGGCAAATAGTGAAAAAGTGAACTGAAGATTTACTGAATTAATAGGATGTCCAACAGTTTTACTAATGCCCTTAAGTGAAGGCAACATGCCATCCCTATTCATATTTCCTGCCCCATATCTTCTACATCATTCCCAATCTTCAAATGCCTCCTTAGTACTTTCCTTTGAAGATAACTTTGGTCCACTTCTGCTCAGATTAGCCTTAACTGTGAAGTTCAACTATTTTGTTCCATTAAAAAGGAGGCCTTGCTCTGAATTAAAGTGAATTTAAACAAACCGGGTGTTGGAGTAATTAAACACCATAACCATAAAGAAAAATAAATATTCTACTCTTTGGCCTTGGCTGCTTAAACACAACAATTCAAATATATTATCAAGAATATAACAATTTCCCATCTTCAATCTTATGTCAGAATGTGGGTTGAGGTTAAGTATTAAGAATCCTGCAATAAATGTGAAGTGAACCACATTTTTCAATTAAGCACCCCCAAATACTCACAGAAGATACACAAACAAAAAAACAATTTATTCTGATTAAAGTTGAAGAAAATAACCAGGAAATGACAAACTAATAACTGCTGGCCTTTCTTAGTCAAGAGGAATTTTAAATAAAAGTGAACAAAGGACAACACAGCATCATTGTCTGCAAGGGAATAATTCTGAGCTGAGTATTAAATGAAACATTCAATTCCACTGGCTCAAAGCAAGGAAAATTAAGTAAAACAACCAGTTTAATGTGTGCTAAATTACATTACTCATTGTAATAAAATCCAGTCCAAATTCAGCTCTAAATCAGTTTGTAGAACAACAATGTCTTTCAATCACTGATCTAGTCCAGATATAGATCAGCATAGTGATTTGAAAATGTAAAAGTGAAGGTTTAGCTCACCTTGAAAAGAAGTTCATCTGTGTTTTTGGCGCTATAGTACAGCTGCACTGATCCTGGTTTGTATTTACAAGGCTTGCTTCCTTGCATTCTGTGGAGATCTACGACATGCAACAGTATGGAATACAAGGGATTAATGCCCACTCCACCTGCAACCAACAACAGGCTCACCGGAGTGTCAGAAGGCTGAGGGTCAAAGAAGAAATCACCTCCTACACGAAGAGTTACTTCTGAGCCAACATCGCACTATGGAAGAAAATGAAAACTTTTTGTTAAGAACAGTTTTTTGAAAAACAAAATTGCAATTTTTGGCATGGGTTCAAAACATTTTATGCACAACAGTCCTCCACTTTCAGTATGCCTTGCTTCTGAAAATGAAGTGAGAAATTGGATTTAATGCTGTATAGCAAAATGTGCTCATTGCATTTCAGTAGAACCTCCTTGCAGCTAAACTAAATGTCAGAATGCATGACCTAGTATTGCTAATTCAACAGTGTTACAAAAATAGTTAACACCTGCTACTTGAACGTTGTTGAATTTGAAATATTATGCCAGAACTAGTGAATACATTTCACTAAAAGTCATTATGCTTGAAACAGCGCTCATTTGAAGGCCTTTGAGAAGGCTCAACGAATTAAACCTTTAAATCCAAAGGTGACTAACACAAACAGCCAATTTTTCCTGAAATGACATGCCCATGTCATTTCAGGAAAATGTAGCTGTTTGTGTTAGTCACATTTTGCTAATCAGTATTAAATCTGATTGCACACACTGATGTCTCCACCCGAAAATAAAGTGAAGCATTCACCACTACCCAGACATTCTGGCCACCAGTGCCTTAATTAAGCCCCACCTCTGTGCTGTTCAGTCACTGCCACATGGGAATTGCCCCTTACAATTGGTATTACAACAGGCAAGTTGGCTATCCAGTTTGCTGACTAGGATATGGAGATCATGGTAGGCAGAACGATGGTGCACAGGGCAGTTTTGCTTTTACAAGACTGCCACAGGAGACCATGGTATCAAATGCGGATACCCTGGTCTGAAGTTGCCACCCTAGGTCAGTGCAATATAAATGACAAACAAAAGAGGACACAGAACTGATCCCTGTGGAACGTCGCTGGTCACAGGCCTCCAGCCAGAAAAGCAACCTCTACCATAGCTCTCTGTCTCCTGCCGTTAAGCCAATTGTGTATCCAATTGGCAAGCTTACCCTGAATCCCATCTGGCCTAACTTTACTAATTAGTCTACCATGCAGAACCTTCTCAAAGGCTTTGCTAAAATCCAAATAAACATTATCTACTACTCTGCCATCAACCACCTTTTTGGCAACTTCCTCAAAAAACTCAATTAAGTTTGAGACATGATTTTCCTCACACAAAACCATGTTGACTATCCCTAAAAAAATTCTGCCTCTCTAAACGTTCATAAATCCTTTCTTTTATAATCAACTCCAAGAATTTACCCACAACTGAAGTCAAACTCACAGGTCTATAGTTCCCCAGTTTCTCCTTACAACCTTTCCTAAACAAAGGTATAACATTAGCCATCCTCCAGTCATCAGGCACCTCACCCTTAGTTATAGATGGTGCAAAGAATTCTGCAAGGGGTCTTGTAATTTCCTCCTTTACTTCCCACAATATTCTGGGATATATTAGATCCGGTCTAGAGATTTATCCACTTTTATATTCTCCAAGATCTCCTGAACTTCCTCTTCTGTAATGTGAACTGTATTTAAAACATCAAAGTTTATTTCTCTGCCTTCTCTAGACTCCATTTCTTTCTCCATAGTAAAAACTGACGTGAAATATTCATTTAGCACCTCTTCCATCTCCTGCAGTTCAACACAAAGATGACTTCCTTGGTCTTTAAGCGAGCAGCATGGATCTTGCAGCTGCTCCTAGGATTGCAGGCTTAAAGATTTATTATAGTTTTCCTTTCACAATTTCAGATATTATAGTCATTACAATTTACTAATAAGATTTCCTTCCATTTTGTTTTACTAACATTCAAAAAAAACCCCAAAAAACCAAACAAAAAATTGCTTCTTTTTCCAAACAGATTTTTTTTTAAACTGTTTTTTAAAAAAGGGTCTACAGCGAATGGCTGGGACTTTTTTATTCTTAATTCAGAAGTTAGAAGTTAGAAAAATCTGTGAGGTATCTTTTGAAGAAAAAAATTTTTTTTTAAAATAAGGAATTGTGTTTTCATTCCAAAGAGTCTTACAGGCGGTCAGCTCGGGAGAAGATTGTTTTTCCTTCGAGAAATTTATTGAAGAGGAATCATTTTAATTCAGTTAATCAGCTAAATGGTTGATTTTATTTAATTTTTATAGGTTTGATATATATTTTTCAATTTTTTTCATTTCAACATTATTTTCTGTAGGTAATGAAAGGTAGTTTATTTTATATAGGGTTTAATTGAAACATCCTTTTTTAGGCTTAATGTTATTAAGGTCATATATAAAAAGGTACAGAGTGAAATGGCTAGTAGATTTAGAAAAGTTATTACCCAGCAGGATCAGTCAGATAGATGGGTGACTGTCAGGATAGGTGAGAAGATAGTTCACAAGTCTCCAATGACTATTCCTCTATCAAATAGATATTCAATTTTTGGAACAGTTGAAGGGGATAGTCTCTCCGAGGAAAATGGAAGGGCCAGTCAGTTTTTGGACACTTGGAATGATTGCTATGTTGGGCAGCGTTTGACAAGATTTAATAGAATTATTGTTATACGGGATTCTCCTGTCAGGGCCATTATGTGGCAATTCTGTGGCAGTGACTGTACATTTAGGATGGTTTGTTGCTTTCCTGGTGCTAGGATTAAGGACGTTTCTAAATATTTCAAGCATATTGTTAAACGTGAGATTGAGAAGCCAGAAATTATTGTACACCTTGGTAGGAATGACATTTTAGGGAAAAGATTAAAGCAGTACAGAGTGAATTTAAGAGGTTAAGTGGAAGATTAAAAAATAAGACCTTAAAAGCAGTAATTTCTGGTTTACTCCCAACGTCAAACTCAAACTCAAACGAAGGAAGGTAAAAATGGTTAAGGAGATAAATCAATGGCTGATGAGCTGGTGTTTTGTTCAGGGATTCAGGTTTTTGGCCAATTGGAATAGCTTTTGGGATAGAAAAGAACTGTTCAAAAAGGATGGTTCTAACCTAAACTGGAAAGGGATCAATATCTTAGCAGGGGGATTTGCTCATTCTGTTAAGGGAGACTTTATATTGATAGAGAAGGCAAATGGAGGAATTCTAGGTAGCAGTGTAAATGGAAGGATTGATGAGGTAGGTCCTGAATGGGAGGAGAGCATGTCAATTGGAAAGAAAGATAAGAGACAGTCAGAGTACGTACTAACTCTGAAGAACTAAATTGCATTTATTTCAATGCAAGGTGTCTTACAAGTAAGGCTGATGAACTCAGGGCATGTTTAAGAACATGGGATTAGGACATCATAGCTACTACATAAAGTGGCCGAGAGATGCACAACACTGGCAGCTCTGGATTTAGATGCTACAGGAAGGATAGAAAAGGAGGCAAGAAAGGAAGAGGGCGGCATTTTTTGATTAAGGAATACATTACTGCTGTAACTAGGGAAGAAATATCTGAAGAATCGTCCAGGGAAAATAAATGGATAGAAATTACAAATAAGGAAAGATCACTTCAATGGGATTGTACTATAGGCCCCCCCAGTACTAAGACAGAAATTGAGAAACAATTATGTATGGAGATCTCAGATATATGTAAGCATAATAAAAGTTGTAATAATGGAGAATTTAATTTTCCAAACATTGACTGGGACTACCATAGAGTTAAAGGTTTGGAAGGTGAAAATTGTGTCAAATGTGCTCAAGAAAATTTTCTTTTTCAATATGTGGATGCTCCTACTAGAAAAGGAGCAAAACTACACCTTCTTTTGAGCAATAAGGCAGGGCAGGTGACAAAGGTAAAAGTGGGGGAATCACTGAGTCTAGCTATCATAATTCTATTAGTTTCAAAATGGTTATGGAAAAGGATAAGCCTTCCATGAAAGTTAAAGTTTTTAACTGGAGTAAGGCAAATTTTAATGGTATGAGACAAGAACTTTCAAAAGTTGATTGGAGTAGACTGTTTGCAGGTAAAAGGACATCTGACAAGTGGGAGGTGTTCAAGAGCACGATGATGACAGTTCAGAGGCATTCTGTTCCTGTTGGAGAAGGGTAAGACTGGTAAGATTAAAGGAACAATGGATGAATAAAGATATTGAGATTCTGGTCAAGAATAAGAGAGAATTTTTTTAGATATAGACAATGTGGTTCAATTAAATCTCTTGAAAATCTCTTAATGGAAGAGAACCCTAACTGCTCGTGTGATGCTGAAACCTTTGCCACATGGCACCCAAGTAAAATTCAGTGTCAAGTGCTTTCCCAGTACCACTAATTATTCTTAATGTGCTCATTCTCCTACCTTTCTTTCACAACTCATTTCCTCCATCTCCTACAGGCAGCTGTGGCATCCACACAGTTGCTATCATGAAGTCAACTGCCTCTTAGGGCAGCATCTGCTTTTCCACTTGAGGAAGATGTTACAGATAGCCTAAAGGAAGCACCAGCAAGGCCCTTTCTTATAGTCTTTAACTAGGCAAGATGATAGTGGGACCTTGATGTCACTCCAGGTGCCCTTCTTCTCAAGGTTACAGCAGTGTGCCTGTAAGCACCCAGCCAGAGGAATAATCACATCCAGGTCCACTGGAAGTCTCTCTCAGGACACCTCAAAGATGCCCCCCCACTCCTTCACTCAACCTGCAATCCTCAAACATGTGCAGTGAAGTTCAATCCAAAGAGAGTAACCCTTCACCTGGGCAGAACAGTCTCAGGATGCCCAGGGCCTTTTGCCATAAACACCCTTGTGTTGACAAGGCTGCTTGTCAAAGCTCCAAAACCAACAGGCTCCACCACAAGGCAAGCTCCCTCCACCTCCAGGCACAGACCTGAAACCTCATTTGGGAGTAGTGGAATGGAAATTAAAAACAAAATCCGTGAGGGCATTTCGCTGGTACTTCGTTATAAATTCATCACATTTGTTACTCCAACTGGAACAAGTCCCCTGATATGACCTGCATGGAAACCTGACGTACAGGAGACATATTATGGCAGTCGTTGGCCCCAGTAGAAAAAGTGAAGCATTGCAGATATGCTGCAAATCCTGACATGATGTTCGGATTGCCACCGCTAAACACTGTGGCACCACTGTCCTCCTCATT